CGCTCAGAGCGGCCGGGGATCCTCAGGGCTTCTGGTGCTGTGCCAAGAGGGCTCTGATGCTGATGTCAACCGCTTGGATTGTTCTGGAAGGTAGACTGCTGGACCTGGGAGGTTGTGAACTCCCTTGTTCACTCCACCATCAGAGCCCGCTGCCACTGAGAGAATCCCTCAGTCTCTTTCCACCTTTCACAAGCCTCAGAGGTTCCAGGTTTGAGAGTCTTGCAAGATCTACAAGTTACCTGTTACTCCCTTGAAAACAATTAATTAAAAAAAATTTTAACCCCAACCGGGCGGTGGTGGCGCACGCCTTTAATCCCAGCACTTGGGAGGCAGAGCCAGGCGGATCTCTGTGAGTTCGAGGCCAGCCTGGGATACAGAGCGAGTTCCAGGACAGCCTCCAAAGCTACACAGAGAAACCCTGTCTCGAAAAAAACAAAAAACAAACAAAAAAATTTTTAACCCCATTCTAGGTGTGATATTCTAGGTTAGATGTATTCATTTTCTTTACTCATTTGAGCTTGTATTTGTTTTCTTTTGTTTTTCCCCTTTAAAATTAATATATTTAATAATTTATTATTTTTACTTTATTTTATTTACAGTGTTGGATATCAAACCCAGGTCTTTCACTTGCTAAGCAAGTACTTTACAACCAAGCTATACCCACAGCCCTCCCATGCCAGAGAATTCAGGCCTAAGTTGAGACAGGAGTGCTCAGTATTTTGGTAGACATGCTTGACCTTCTGCTCTCTGCTGTGGACACAGCTTTCTCTAGGGGGCACAGCCATCTCTGACGGCTCTGAACTCAGGCACAGTGAGGTGATGTCTGCTGTGGGTGGGCCCTCATGGGGCCCCTGGGTGCTGGGCCCTGGGAGAAAGATGGGCTGTGGGCAAGCGGAGGCCCGGAAGCCCCAGGCCCTATAAAGAAGCATCTTAGAGGCTCCTGAGCAGGCAGCTCAGAGTCTGGGGGTCCAGAGGGCACAGCAAAGGCCCATGGGATGTCCCCAGAGAACAAAAATACCTGGTCTGGACCCAAAGAGAGCCAACCATTTCTGGCAGAGCAGGGCTGTAATTAGAAAGGTTGTCCTGAGGGAGTGAGGTACCCATCCCCAGAAGCACGAAAGCATGGACAGAGAAAACGTGAGTGAGGGCAAGTAGAGAGTGGCAGCTCACTGTACTCCGGGTTCTAGGGAAGCTGGGGCAGGAGACTCAGCCATGAGTTCAAAACCAGCTCGTTCCGCTATACAGTGAGACTTTATCTCAAATAAATTTTCTAAACATTTATTTTTAGTTTTAGTCATGTAGGTGTGTGTCTCAGTTAGGGTTTCTGTTGCTGCGAAGAGACACCATGACCACGGCAACTCTTATAAAGGAAAACATTTAATTGAGGTGTCGGCTTACAGTTCAGAGGTTCAAACCATTATCATCATGGTGGGGAGCATGGCGGTGTGCAGGTAGACATTGTGCTGGAGAATTAGCTGAGAGCCCTACGTCTGGCAGGCAACAGTAACTTGGCTGAGACACTGGGTGGTATTCTGAGCATAGGAACTGTCAAAGCCCACCCCCAAAGTGACACACTTCCTCCAACAAAGACATACTCCAACAAAGCCATCCCTCCTAACAGTGCCACTCCCTATGAGATTATGAGGGCCAATTACATTCAAATTACCATGTTGTGTGTGACTGCATTTGGGTATGTGCACATAGTACAGGTACCCTGGCTCCCCTGGAGCTGGAGTTACAGATGGTTGTGAGCAACCTGATAGAGATGCTGAGAACCAAACTCAGGTCCTCTGGAAGGAAAAAAAAAAGCAAGTGTGCTTAACTCCTGAGCCATCTCTCCAGGCCCAGATGAATATAATTTTAAGTAAATATGATTTTAAAATAGAATTTTCTACCTATTCTACCTTGTACTCACTTGATTCCAACCCCCTGACATTCTGTTTGAAGGGAAATGTCAAGGGTGGGAGACATCCCCCTACCTGAACACCCACAGTTCACCTCCCTAAGAAGACACTTGGCCGACCAGAAGCACCACAGAGGGGTGGCTGGAGACATCTTCGCCAAAGGACTGTTTCACATTGGTTCAAGGCTTTCCACAAAGACATTGAACAACATGGAGGGGGTGGCATCCTTCAAGCAAGTGGCTCTCAGACAGAGGCCTCTTATGTGACACTCATGATCTTTGGGCCTCTAAGAGATAAAAATAGGCAGTGAAGCTAGCTTTAAAAGTTCTTTGTTTTGTGGTAGGTAAAACACTGGTGAGGCACAATATTAAAGGCTAGCCAGGCTACATAGTGAAAAGTGAGTCTCCCTCCCATACTATTTTCATCCCGGACCTCTCCATGGCAACCGTCTACCTTCTCAGTCCTAGAAATAGTTTATAGGCTTTCAAGCAAATGGCTGGACCACCTACTAAGTGTAGGGAATGAGCCTGACTGAGCCCAGACTGGGAGTTGGTGGGCCGGGTTCCAGCTGGTGATGTCTACTGCGTCTGTGTGCTGACCACAAAGTCCTTCCCTGGTCCTAGGCACCGAGACTGGGTCTTGTTGTGTGACCATGCCTCTCACTGCATGTGAGCAGGGCTGCCTCTGAAAAGCAGACCCCCGTGTGGGCTCGCTGTGATTGACTGGGAGAAATACCCATGAGGAGAACTGGGAAGGCCTTACACCAAGGGTACCAAAGTTGACAGAGAAAAATACAGGACACCTAGCTAGCTAAATTCTAAGTCAGATCAGGGTGTGGTGGCACATGCCTGTTAATCCCAGCCAAGGCAGGAAGATCAAGGGTTTGAAGCTAGCCTGGCCTACTTTGTGAGACTCTGTCTCAGAAACAGCCAGCCAGGACTGAAGAAATGGCTCAGCAGTTAAAACAGCACAGGCTGCTCTTCCAGAGAACCCAGACTGGAGTTCCTAGCACCCGTACAAGGCAACTTCTGGTGTCCAAAACTATAAGCAAATAGATTTATGTTGTTTTAAAGCCAGCAAGTGTGTGGTAATTGGTTATAGCAGCAAAAGTAAACTCATACAGACAGGAAATGTTTTAAATAAGGAGGTGGGGCTTCTAATAAACTGTAAAGCCCACAGAGGGTCCTGAGTCTCAGGGGAAGGGACCTACATTATAAGTCCCAGGCACTCAGTTGCTGGCTTGTAGCAACTAGTGGAAACCTAGTCTTGGAATTACAGTGGAGGGGGTGAATACAGCTGCCAAATACCACAGCCCTGTTTATTATACCATGAAGAAACCACTGCACAGAGAGGTGAAGGGACGTACCAAGGTCACGGGGCTCTTATGTGGGTGTGAGACTTTAAATCGAAGGAGTCAGATTCTAAGATATACACAATCTAGTCACCATTCTTGAATGCTTTCTTTGGATATCTTTGAGTAAAAGCTGCTTCAAGGCTTCTTTTGAATCAGATAGAATGTATGTAAGAAAGGCCATTTTTAAAAAGATTAAGGTGGGGGCTGGAGAGGGAGGGCCCAGTGGTTAAGAGCATTGGCTGTGAACACTGGGCAGAGCGCTGAAAAGTCCAATTGAAGAGAGGGAGGGGGGATTATATGAGTGTGTGGGGGGTCACGATCATGATGGGGAAATCCAGACAGCTGACTCAAGCTAGTGGGAGCTCATAGACTCTAGACCGACAGCTAGGGAACCTGCATGGGACTGACTTAGGCCTTCTGCATGTGGGTGACAGTTATGTAGCTTGGTCTATTAGTGGGGTGCCTAGCCAGGACCTGTCACTGGCATGTGAGCTGGCCTTTTGGAACCTATTCCCTGTGGTGGGATGCCTCGCTCAACCTTGATGCAGCGGGGAGGAGCTTGGTTCTGCCTCAACTTACATGCCGTGCTTTGTAGACACCTATGGGAGGTCTGCCCCTTTCTGAATGGACATGGAGGAGGAGTGGATGAGATAGTGGGTAGAAGGGAGGTGCGGGGAGGGGAGGGGAGGAGAGGGGAAGGGAGGAGAGGAGGGAGGGGAAACTGTGGTTGGTATATAAAATAAAAACATGTAATTAAAAAAAAAAAAGCACTGGCTGCCCTTCCAGAGGTTCAATTGACCCAGGTTCAATTGCCAGCACCTACATGGCAGCACAAGACTGTAACTCCAGTTCCAGGGGTTCTGACACCCTCGCACAGACACTCAGCTAGGGCAGTTACAGAGAAACCCTGTCTCGGGGGTTGGTGGTGGGTTGAGGGTAGGTGTGTGGGGGTGTGGGGGTGTAGGGTGGGAGATTAAGGCATAATTAAGCAATAAATCCACAGGAGTCTGTTTAGGAAGTATTAGGGAAATGTATTAAGGTAAATTGAGGAAATACACTCATAAATACAGAACAGAGTAGACAGCTGAAATCATCCTCTGATCTGACCTGGAGAGAATCCACCTCACAGGCAGGAACAGAGAGAAGGAGCATGTGACCTCGTCTCCCTCTCCTTTTAAGAGGTCCCATATGGCAGGAAGCACCGTTTCCTTCAGGCCCTATAGCCCAAGGTCATGGTTGAGGCAAATACCTCCACAGCATAAAACTACCTAGTGTTGGAAATGGTGCAGGAGAAATGAACTGGCTCAAATTTCATGAGTTATTGGTAAGAGTATAAATCAAATACAACCTGTAATAGAGCAGTGGACAGTATTTATAAACTTTAGGGATGGGGGAGCATAATTTAGTGGAAGAGCACTTGCTTAGCATGCATGAGATCCTGTGTTTCATCCCTGACGTGTGTTTGTGCACATAAACACTAAGTGCTATCTATGTTAGTCAGCTTTCAACTACTGCATCCATACACCCGAGACACAACTTAAAAAGAGAAAAGGTTTGTTTCAGCATGTAGTTTTGGAGGTTTCAGTCCATGGCCAAGGTCAGCATAATACAACACTGGTGTGTACGGAGGTGGAGGCCTGTTTACCTCTTATCTAGGAACTGGAAAAGAGAGAAAGGAAAGATCAATGTCTCACAATCCCCTTTGAGGGCATGTACCCAAAGAGCTAAAGTATCTTATGGATTCCATCAGCTCTTGATAGGACCAGTACCTGGGGACCAAGCAACCCTTCAACACATGGATCTCTGGGGAACACTCCAGATTCACACTATAGCACTGCCCCTACACCTGGCCCCAGTGGTTCCTCTTCTGTTTCATCCCAGAAAAACTTTCCTATCTCCACCAGGCATCCTCACCAGGATGCACTGACAGCAACCAGAGCATCCATGCACAGGAGGATGTGTGGATGAATTGTGCTGTATCCAGATGGCCTCTGTCAGTGAAGAAAAAGGACAATGACATGCTATGGACCCAAGGGAAGTGGCAAGGTATAGAGGGGGATTTCCAAGTCTTGGGGATGGGGCTGAAGACATGGCTTAGTGGTTAAAAGCACTAGATGTTCTTCCAGGGGACCCAGGTTCAATCCCCAACACTCACATGGTAGCTCTCATCAGTCTCTAATTCCAGTACCAGGGAATCCAACACCCTCTTCTGGCCTCCTTGGGTACCAAGGATGCACATGGTTTGCAGACAGACATACATGCAGGCAAAATATCCATAAACATTTACTAAATAAATAAATAGAGATAAGAGAATGCCACAAGCTCTTGGGCCAGCTAGTCTGGCTTATGCAGTGGCAAAGAGACCCTGCGTCAAACAAGACTGAAAGACTAGGACTAGCATCCTAAAGTTGACCTCTGACCTCCACTCTCACCACCCCCCCCCCGTAATTAATTAATAGAAAGTATTGGAACAGTATATGCAAAAGAAGGCAGCATGAGTGAGAGACAATAGAGACCCATGTTCAGGCCGTACTCCTGTGAGCTTGCCCAAGTGTGGTCAGAGGTCTGGAGGATGTTGCCTGAGTCTGTTGCCTTGCCTATTCTAGAACAGTCCAGAGGTTTGGGAGAGTTGTAAGAAGAGCAGCTACAGCAGACAGACAACCATGTCCCTGCTGGAGGTGGCTTGGCAGGTCTGCCCCACTGGCCACTAGACTGTACTGCTGTGGCCAGCACAGGCCGAGTGGTTTCTCGTGAGTTAACTGCCTTTTCAACCAGTGATCCTGATGCTTTGCCATATGGAGATCCTGGACCCGGGGAGGCTGCTCTTACAGGGAAGAGTAGAGGATTGTCTGCACACAAGCCTTCCTTGAGTGAAGCCGGTAGCAGGCCACCAATATTTTGAGACAGCCCTTAACCCAGAGCCTACCAAGGCCCTCCATTCTAGCTGGCTTGCCCCCTGGTCTCTGGCCTCACCCCTCCCGACCCACTGTCAAAGCCTCTTCCATACTCGAAATCGCACTTTATGAAGACCCAAGAGCCATGGCACACACCAGCATTGCCAGAAGCGCCAGACAGCCTATCTCCATGAAGCAGACACAACCAAGGGGAACGGCCAGAGGACAAACCCCTTCCTCTTCTGTTCCACTCCAGGTAAGCTTCCTGGGGTCCCTCCAGCATGTTGCACATGTCAGCGAAGAGCAGGGATGACCATGGGGCGGTGATCACAGGGCACCACCCCCGAATGACTTCACAGCTCCCTCCACCTCTAGTGGTCACCTCTCACAATGCTTCAGGACAGATGCCAGCCAGCCCTGTCCAAATTGTCAAGTTCAGAGGGAGGCTAGGCGGGAGTCTAGTTTTGGCTTCAAGCAGCTATATATGTTAGGAATTTTTTAGAATGAGTCAACATTAATTTATTGCCGAGTAAACTTAAAGTATTAAATAGTGATAGGGAGGGAGGGAGAGAAGGGGAGGGGCCCCTTGGTAAGATGCTTCCTTACCCCTTAAGGGGTTGGGGAGAAAGAGAAGCAGCTACAGGCTCCGCATCGGTCTGGCCGCCTCTCCTCTAACAGCATCCCTGGCCCAGTGGTGGGGATAGGCCTTTCTTACCGGTTTCCTTTGTACCCAGCTCCTGTCTGCTTCCCTGATCTAGCTTCCCCCAGCCCCATCCCTCTGCTGCAGGTGCTTCAGCCTTTTATGGAAGCTCCACCAAGAACTCTCCCTGATCCTACCCCTCTTGCACCTCCCAGAGCTGGGAGCGACTTCCCACCACGGCCACTCTCAGAAAGTGGCAGAAGTTAGCCAGCCCTCAGCTGGACAGCGTTGGGTCACAGACACTAGCTGAGCAGGTACAGCCCTGAGAAGTGTTACAATTCTTGCAGGCCAGAACAGCGGACCTCTGAAGCAGTGGGTCTCCGTGTCTGGAGTCTGGAAAGGGCTGCAGAAACGAATTCCCTTCCACAAACCAAGTATGGTGGTTGCTTCCGTCTCTGAGACACTGAAAAACAGCCTAGCTTCTTTTTCTCCTCCAATGAGGTCCAGGGCTGTCTTGTGCTCTGAAGCTCAAATGGATACCCCACACTCACCCTGGGGCTCACTTGGGCCCTAATTGGCTGGATGTAGATATGCAAATAGGATGGGAAAAAAAAACGACAGACCGTGGAAGACTAATCAAACCTACAGGTGTGTGTTCGGGGTAGGGTGGAGAACCCTGCGCCCACCAAAGTTGCTAAAAGTTCACAATGAGGTCACAGGTCTCTTGGGTCTGCAGAAGCAGAAAAACTTTTAAAAAATTCAAGCCAGGCATAGCATAGTGGTGCTTTTAATTCCAGCACTTGGAAGGCAGAGGTGGGTGGCTCTCTTGTGAGTTCAAAGCCAGCCTGGTATACATAGTGAGTTCCAGGACAGTCAGGACTGCGTAGTGAGACCTTGTCTCCAACTACAAAATAATTCAAAGACCTACCCTTCCCCTCTTTTTACACCCCCTGGGGGAGTTTTTGCTAGGGAGTGGGGAATAGGAGAGTGAAGAAATGCAGGTATGTTTCTGGGTTTTTTGTTTTTTGGGTTTTCTTTTTTTCAGCTGCTGCTGCATTAACAGCAATCCCTCATGAAAGCTTCACAAGGTGGGGTACACCTACCCCCAACAAATCTTCTAAATGAATGTTCACTTTCAATTATCAATTTTGATTTTAATTAATATCATTTATTCATCCACATAACTAGTGTGTGTGTGTGTATAGACTTAGGGTTTTGTTTTTCAGAAGGGTCTCACTGTGTAGCCTAGGCTGACCCCAAACTCATGTTCTTCCTCCTGAGTGCTATGATTACCAGCAGGCACCCCCATACCCAGTTTCTAAGTGCCTATTGTGTGCTTAGCCTGTGCTAGTTTCCAGACCTCAAAAGTGGGGATGATGAATGCCCGTGTCACAGGCTAGTTTGAAGCCAGTGGCAGCAAGAAACAGACTAGGCACCAAGAGGAACTTCTGAGTGTGGCAGGCGAGTGGAGTCCAGCAGCGCAGGGAAAGTGTTCTCTCCCCACCAGAGGCGAAGATGGCACAGAGAACATCTGGTCCCCGGAGGTGCTTACTACATTTTGAGCCACAGCCCAACGGGAGCAAGAGAAGGCAGAAGTTGTATTTTTCCAGCTCAAGTTTGGTGTGCTTAGCAAGAGCCCCATAAAATTTACAACCTACCGGCAAGCAGTGGTTTGATTCTCCTACCCAGCAGGTTCCTGCTCCACAGCGTTGGGACCAGGAGCAGCTGATGAGAAATAAATGAGGCAGGTGCCCAAGCGGCTTCTTTGCCAATAAAAGAAAACAACAGTCTGAAATTGGTCGTGCAGGAAGCGGGAGAAGAACCTGGGGTGAAGGTGATTCTTTCCTGCCTCAACCCCATTAGCGGAAGGCCCCCGAAGGCGGGGTGGCCAGACCCTGGTGCCATAAAGAGCTGAGCCGACACTGGCAGATGATTTACTGGGGCCGTGCAAACTCCGAGCTCTAACTGGGCTCCACAGGTCTGCAGTAGTTCCAAGCTTCTCAACCTCTAGGACCCTCTTTTTCAATTACTTCCCTCTGCCACATGGGGCCTGGGAATAGATAGCTTGTTAGTGTCCACGGCATGCTGGATCGCTCTTGGAGATGTGCAGCTCTCAATCACCCTTTAAGGGTTCTTCTGACCCCAGATCTCCCCAACTGTGGCTGGAGGGAATACTGAGGAGGCCTTGGTGCCATTGCAGGAAGTTAGGGAGGGCTTCCTGGAGAAGGAGGTTGTAGTTGGATTTTTTTTCTTTTTACTCTTTTGGAGGCCCACCACCCAGCTCCCAAATAAATATACAAACTTACTCTTATTTATGAATGCCTGGCCTTAGCTTGGTTTGTTTCTAGCCAGCTTTTCTAACTTAAATTATCCCATTTCTCTTTAACTACATTTTGCAACTGGGCTTTTTACCTTTCTTATTCTATATTCTTTCCTTCTTACCCTGTTGCTGGATGGATGACTGGCCCCTGGCATCCTCCTCTCTCCCTCTTCCTCTCTCTTCTAGATTTCTTCTATTTATTCTCTCTGCTTGCCAGCCCCATCTATTTCTCTTTCCTGCCTTGCTATTGGCTGTTCAACTCTTTATTAGACCAATCAAGTGTTTTAGGCAGGCAAAGTAACACAACTTTACAGAGTTAAACAAATGCAACATAAAAAAATGCAACACATCTTTGCATCATCAAACAAATATTCCACAGCATAAACAAATGTAACCCATCTTAAACTAATCTTCCTCAACAGGAAGTACCTGTGATAATTGTGAATCTGGGGTTTTCCAAGTGAAATAGGAAGAGTCCTGTGGGTGAGGGGGGCTGAGACAGGGCAACAGATGGGTCTAGGTCACAAAAGACTTTGAACTTGGCCTTCCTGAGGTGCTGAGAGTTCAACTGAGGGATGGTAGGGGTCAGAGTTGACTTTCAGGATGAATCTCTTCCCAAGAAAAATTATATTCATCCCCTACCCCTCCTACACTCCCCCCCAAGTCTCTTCCAGTGAGGAAGGCTATAGAAAAGACCAGAAGTGGAGCCAGCTGACTGGCATCACGCATGCAAGGCTCTGGAGCAGTGTATAACCACAGCTGCCCCTCCTTATTGAGATCACTGTCTGCATCATGCCACAAGAAGGGCCAGAGGGTGTGGGACCCATGGATGACAGAGGCTGGTGCTGCTGGTGTCTTTGGCAAGGGTCTGGGGCTGGCCTGGGGAGCCCGGGGGCAGGGTGGCCGAGTGCTAGCCCCGGGGAGAACCTGTTCCTGAGCTGCCCCTTCTCCTTGATAGCTGCGGTGTTCCCTGAGTCACCCGCTTCTCCTGGCTCTGATCTCAAGGTGGTCAGCGCGAGGCCTGTGGACAGCTCAGGGGGTCAAAAGGCCCCAGGCCTGGATGCAGCAGTAAAGGATCTAGAAATAGCTGCATCAGAGCAGGACACCGGCACGCTGACCCTCAGAACAGCATTGCCTCACACATGCCCCATAGATGGGTCATTGTTGATTATGGCATTCTCAGCCAGCCCAGAGCCTCTGGCAGCCCCTGTGACCCCCAAGCCATTACTTTTGACCTGAGTCTATATTCATTGGAGAATTTGTTGAAAGCTCAAAATCCTTGCCCAGCAAACGTTAAACACAAATTGACCACATTGAGCAGACAGTTCCTGTAACTTACACATCTGGTAGTCAACTGATGTCTAAGTGCCTGACTCAGCTTATCTTCCACAGGTTCTACTGCCTCCATTTTGTAAGTGGAGGGACCAAGACCAGGAAGTTGCTGCCCCACTGGCACCCTAAAGACAGCTCAGTGATGGGGGTCAGGAGCAGGGTGTGGGTTGAGGGTAGGCAGACTGGCTTCTGACTGGTCCCAGCTGCAAATATGGAGCTGGTAGCACAGAGGCTGACTACCCCAGGGTGTGAGGAAAAAGCCAGCCCAACATGACTGGAAACTTCAAACATTCTGATAAGGAGCATGGTTGGGAAGCAGAGGCAGGAGGATATCTGGGAATTCGAGGCCAGCCTGGTTTACATATGGAGTTACAATCCAGTCAGGGCTACATAGTAAAACCATAAATAAGAAATAACATCATGAGATTCTTTTTTTTTTGTCTTTTTAATTTTTGTTTTGGTAACTGGATCACACAATTCTCAATATACAATGTGTGTCATAATGTCAAAGCCTCAGACACCCTTGTTGCAGCTCACTATATGTATACATGCAGGTGCTGTGTAATGCACAGGGAGTTCCGAACAGTTTAAACCAGTCAGAGCAAAAGTAGGTGCAACAGAGTGTCAAGGAAGACCCAGTTGCTGCAGACATGACACACTTTGGTTGCAGGACATACAGAAATCGAGCTAGAAGGAAGTGACCCAATTTTCATAGTGCCAGAAGGATCTAGGCAGGCCACTGAGGGCAAAAAGTCATCAGTGGTCTTATCCAGAGCAGGACCTTGAATGCTACAACGCTAACCTGCCAGGCAAGAAATGCCCCCTAGTGCAATGCTGGTGTGAAGGTTATGGGGGTAGCCAACTACATTGGCATTGGACTTGAGACCTGCTGCACAGGAAAGAATTCATGCCTAGTACTGTAAACTGGTCAAAACCCATGGCTTGGGAAGTCATAGGCCCTAGGGAGGAACGTACAAGTATACTCTTGCTAATTGGACATGCGGCCAAACTGACTTCTAAATGTTTATAGTTATACCCATAGATGAGTGCTTGGGCAGAAAAGCTTCTACCTGCAGTGGTCAGCAGTTACTGCAGAGACTCATAACTGGTCAGAACGATGAGACTAAGTGAATATTGAGTGTTCATTTCTAAACGGAACAGCTATGTCAACTCCCTCTACCCCTGCCAAGGCTCAGGGAACATCATAGGAGAAGAAAGAATGTTAAGAGCTTGAGGCTGGGGAGGAGAGCTGTGAAATGGTGTCTTCTGGACATGACATAGCCCTTGCACTCATGAATACACAGTGGCTACGGCCTCCCACAAAACATCAAGCCAACGAGATCAGCCAATGTTCTAGCAGGCAGCACTAATTATATTCAGTGAATTACAAATTAAAAAAAAGAGGACATGGCTGGGCGGTGGTGGCGCACACCTTTAATCCCAGCACTCGGGAGGCAGAGCCAGGCGGATCTCCGTGAGTTCGAGGCCAGCCTGGGCTACCAAGTGAGTCCCAGGAGAGGCGCAAAGCTACACAGAGAAACCCTGTCTCGAAAAACCAAAAAAAAAAAAAAAAAAAAAAAAAAAAAAAAAGAGAGGACATGAAGATAGGAGAGGGGTGTGTTAGGGTTGTCTGGAGAGAGGTAAAGGGGGTTGTTGGGGGGCGTAAATCTGATCAAGATACACTATACACATGTCTGAAACTGTCAAAGAATAAATAAAAGACACCCTATTATGCAGGGCTGGTTCCCAGAACCCACATGGCAGTTCACAAACATGTGTAACTCTAGTCTCAACGGATCAAGTGCCTTCTTCTGGTTTCTCGGGGACTGCATGAATGTGGTGCACAGGCAAAATGCCCATACATGTTAAATAAAAATTTAAGACGGAAAAAAAAGACACCCTCTTTTTAAAATTTATTTTAAAGTAATATTGGGTGTTTTGCCTCATGCAAGTTGTGGACCGCATGAATAGAGTGCCACAGAAGTCAGAAGAGAGTATCAGACCCCTCTGGAACTGGAGTTGCAAACAGTTGTGAGGCACCATGTATGTGTGTGCCAGGGCTCGGGCCCAGGACCTCTGGAAGAATAGCCAGTACTTGTAACTGCTGAGCCAATTCTCCAGCCCCTCTCACACGGTTCTTAATCAATCCTTTCGTCTTGTAGTGCTGGGAGTGGAGCTGGGAACTTCATGCACGTTGGGCAAGCATTTTTCCAATGAGCCACATCCCCAATCTCTTTATCACTAAAATTTTTATCACATGTATTTATTTATTTTGGGGAGGCATGTGCCCCAGCCTCTGTGTGGAGGTCAGAGGACAATTTGTGGGAGCTGGTTCTCTCCTAACATTTCAGGGACTGAACCTGGGGTCAGGCTTGGTGGCAAGCACTGTTAGCTGAGCCATCTCATTGACTCTCCCACTTAATCATTTTTTTTTTTTAAATTCCATTTCCATGTCAGCTGTTGACAAGGTTTCTTACTGGTGACATTGGCCATATAAATTTTATGTTGGGGCTACGATGAACCCTTGATCCTAGATCAAGCACAGGAGAAAGATTTGGTCTGGACAAAGCACACATGGGATGCTGAAGACTATGCTGGCCACTGTCACCACCGATTCAGTCCACTGTGGACTAAAATGTCATTATAAGGCAGGGGACAGACTGTAATATACTTAGAACAGTGACTAACCCGGGGATGTCAAACACATGTTCTTAAGACAGTGATGTCACAGCTCTCGGTCTTTCTGGCCTCAAGACTGTTTCATTATGTGGGAGATAGCTATTGATCTTTCCCATATTAGGAATCAAACCAGAACTTCAAACTTTCGTGTGTTCCAGCAGAGGCACGTAAGTGCCACAGTGAGCATGGTGAGGTTAGATGACAACTGGCAAGAGTCGGTTCTCTCCTCTACCACGTGTGCCCTGGGGATTGAACTCAGCTTGGCAGCACGTGTCTTTACCTGCCAAGTCATTTCTCTAGCCCTTAGAATTTTAAATTTTACAACAAGCATAAACCAGGACCTTGGGGCTAGAATGATGGCTCAGGAGCTCCTGGATATCAGCTCTCAACCATCTATAACTCCATTTCCAGGGGATCCAACCCCTTTTTCTGGCCTCCAAGGGTACCAGACACACATGTTGAGCATATACATTTATGCGCAAACACTCATACAGATGAAAACAAATAAACTTTAAAAATAAATAAATCCTGACCTATTAACATAAAGTATATATGTTTATGAAGATACCAAGACTGGCTGTGGTGGTTTGAAAGAAAATGGCCCCCAAAGGGAGTGGCACTATTAGGAGGTGTGGCCTTGTTGGAGTAGGTGTGGTCTTATTAGAGTGAGCATGTCACTGTGGAGACGGGCCTCAAGGTCTCATATATGCTCAAGCCACATTCAGAGAGACAGACCACTTCCTGTTGCCTGCAAGATGTAGGACTCCAGCTACTTCTCTAGCACCATGTCCCTACACCCTGCCATGTCACACCACGATGATAATGGACTAAACCTCTGAACTGTAATAGAGCCACCCCAATTAAATGTTTTCCTTTATAAGAGTTGCTGTGGTCAGCGGGGTAGTGGTGGCACATGCCTTTAATCCTAGCACTCGGGAGGCAGAGGCAGGCGAATCTCTGTGAGTTCAAGGTCGGCCTGGTCTACAAAGTGAGTTCCAGGACAGGCTCCAAAGCTACACAGATGAACCCTGTCTCAAAAAACAAAACAAAACAAAAAAATTTTTAAAAAAAATTAGTTGCTGTGGTCATGGTGTCTCTTCACAGCGATAGAAACCCTAAGACAATGGCATTGGTCTATTGTTGCACAAATTCCTAAAGGTCTTATAAATAAAACCCAGAGCCAGATATTGGGGTAAATGCTGAAAGATCAGAGAGACAAAGGAACAAGCTACAGCCACTTCTCACCTCTCCAACTCCACGAATCCTCTGACTGAATGTCTCTGAGTCCTCAGCTGAAGGGGTCCAGCAGAAAAGGGCTTCTAGTCCTGTGTCCTCACACCTTATAGACCTTTCTCCACCCAGCCATATCACTTCCTTCCTAGTGTTGGGATTAATGGCTTATGTGCTTCCCAAATATTGGTAGCAAAGGCATAAGATCCAAGTGCTGGGATTAAAGGTATGTGACTCCCAAGTATTGGGATTAAAGATGTGTGCCACCACTGCCTGGCTCTGTCTCTCTCCTAGACTGAATCAATCTCATGTAGTCCAGGTTGGCTTTGAACTCACAGAGACCCAGATGGATCTCTGCTTCCCAAGTGCTAGGGTTAAAGGTGTGTGCCACCACTGCCTGGCATCTGTTTAAGCTAGTGGCTTGTTCTGTTCTGATCTTCAGGCAAATTTTATTAGGGTACACAATATATCACCACAGTCTATATTTGTACAGACCGTTAGAGTATCTGACTTTGCACAAGGTGGGATTGCTTTCAGCTTCGTCAGCCTTCTGTCTTGCTTTGGTTGAAGAGAAAGGAACCTGGGCTCTCACTAAACAAGGAAAGTGAAGACATCCAGGAACCCCAAGGGCCCTGGGACAAAGTCTGGAATTGCTGCGTTCCCGTAAAGCAGGAGACCCAGAGCTCTGCAGCTGCTGCTCCTCTGGAGAGGAGACTACTCAGACCTACACTCAGCCCAGTGTGCCTCAGTTTTTTTGTGGAGTACCTAGAGCTCAGTAAGCATTGACGTGGTAACTGCAGTCCTGCGTGATTGGTGTGGAGACTCTCTCCAGGTATGCCTCACTGGAAGATTTATCACTGTGAGACCATCACGTCTACATCATGTTTACAATGTCATCGCTAGGTGATATAATCATTCTTTTAAGATTTTTTATTTTAATTATAGATGTAGGGTGTGTGTGTGTGTGTGTGTGTGTGTGTGTGTGTGTGTGTGTGTGTGTGAGTGCAGTGCACTTAGAGGTCAGAAAAGGGTATCAGATCCCTGCTGGAACTGGAGTTACAGGCAGTTGTGAGCAGCTTGACCTGGGAGCTGGGAACCCTGGTTTCCCAGGCCTCGGTAAGAGCAGCATTGTGAAGCGCTGAGCCATCTCTTCAGCCCTGATATAATCCTTTCTATTTTTCTTTTTCCCTTCGCTTAGTGGTTCTAAGGATGGGATCTGGAACCTCGTACTTGTTAGGCAAGTACTCTGCCACTGAAGCATCCCTCCTCCGTCCTGTAGATTATGTAATCTGAAGGAATGACAGTAGAACCCGCAGCTACAGGTTGACCACCCCTCTGTTTACACGGCACCTGGCTGATTTCAGCCCAGTGTCTGACACTGCGTACAGTGTTCTTCCCAGGCCAGCATCTGCGACCTTCCAGGAATGGTCCCAGAGTTCCGTGCCCCTGGGGCCTCCCCAGCCCCTTGAACTCTTCCCAAGGGTGCCCAGCTGAGTCACGGGTATGCCCTGTGCCCCCCACTCCTGGGCCCTAGGCTCAAAAGCAGCAATGTAGGACCCATGCCAGCCTCCAGCACGTCACATGGGGCGTACCTGCATGTGCCTGGACACTCTTCTCGTCAGCATCTGGTGATTAGGAAGTCATTCTCCATGTGGGACGAGATCTAATCAGCCTGCCGATAATCACCAGGCCCAGAACGTGGCCGCAATTCAGGAAAGACGATCCCCGAAGACAAGCACCACTTAAATCCTGGCACTGACCACAGTCCCCTTGGTAACCCGTGCTTCTGAGCACGATTTAGCCAGTGAGCTAATTGATGTTCTCCTGGGCAGTCAGCTCGTGCCCGGCAATCGAAATGGACGCTAATTGCTGACATCCTTCAGGTAAGAAGCCCTTCGTGTTCTTGGGCCACCCAAGAGGCCCGGAGCAGGAACTGAGTCTCTCAGCAAATCGGTGCCATGATTGCAAATAATTAATCGAAACAAGGTTTGCAGAAAGAATTAATTACAGAACCTATCAGAGGAAATGGTGGCTTCACTGGATGGGAGAGGCTGGCTTCTCACAGAAGCTCAAAGCAAGATGTAGGTAATACAAAAATAAACATTTTTAAAGTGCTCCTGGTACTTGAAGTTTTACAGAATTAGACTGCGCCTTTATGATTTTTTAAAATCAATTGCATTTTTTGGGATGTGTGTGTGTGTGTGTGTGTGTGTGTGTGTGTGTGTGTGTGTGTGCTCATGCACTCATGCCAAGGCGCACATGATGGTAAGAGGGCAACTTTTGGAAGTCAGTCCCCTCCTTCCACCACGCGGGTCTTGGGATCAAACTTAGGCCATCAGGCTTGATAGCAAGCTTCTTCAGCGAGCCATTCCACTGGCCTTAGGCTGTGCCTTTTATAAGTGACATCGCCACTCTGAGCCACGTATTTGTCTTTCTAAAGGAGGTATCAGGCAGCATTCTTTCGTGGTAACAAAGCGCCCAAGATAATACATTTTTAAGAAGAAAAAGTTTGTTCAGCTTAGTTTTGGGGGTTCTGGTCCATGATCCCTCGACCTCAGTGGTTTTGCTCTTGTGGTGAGGCAGCCTCCTGGTATAGAGCACCCCAAAGCTCAAGAAGTAATGAGAGAGAAGGACGGCCCTGGGACCCAGAATCCTCTTGGAGGGCAATGCCCTCAATGACCTAAGACCTGCGACTGGGCACAATTTCGTAAAGGTTCTACCATCTCTCTAGAGCACCACTGTGGGGACCGTGCCTTTAACATGGAGTCTCGGGACACTGGAGGTCTAAGGGGGCTGGTGAGATGGCTCAGCAGGTAAAGACACTTGCTGCCAAGCCTGGCCACCTGAGTTTGATCCCCGGGCCCCACATGATGGAAGGAGAGAACTGCTCCTGAAAATTGTCCTCTGACCTCTACAAACATGCAGTGGTATGCACACCCTCCCCTAGACACACACACACACACACATACACGCACACACACACACAATTGAATTTTAAACCATCAAGATCTAAACTACTACGTGAGGGTGTAAAGGAAAGCTGGAAAGAGCCCTGCACAGGTCCCACCCAGATCACTGTAGCTTCTTAGCACCATAGGTCAGAGGAGAAAGCCAGTGTGCCCAGTGGAGGGCCATTTGGTACCCTCTGAGGTGGGATGTGTGTGTGTGTGTGTGTGTGTGTGTGTGTGTGTGTGTGTCTGCCTGACTACCTATGGGCCTTCTTGAAGCAGCTTCTCAGGGCCAGCTGGCTGTGGCCAGAAGGATATCACCAGAGAGAAGCCCTCAGCCTCTGACTGGAGGAAACTGGGAAACATATTCCCAACCTCCTCAGTCTATCAAGCTGGACAACTCTAAGATGTGGTCCGTGTCTCCTAAGAGTCCCCCCAAAAGATGGAATCCCACCGCCAACCTGTTCACCAATACAGCCCGAATTCTTCCCTTCCCTGTACCTGTCCCCCACTCCAGACCACTGCTTCCTGGGATCAATGTCCATATATGTAAACTGTGTTCAAATCCTTGTCTGAGTACTGGTGCTGGGGACACCCAGTCTCAGGCAGGTGTAATTATAGACTGTGATAACTGTGAGGAAGGAGAGGGCCTCAGGGCTGCAGTGCCACATTCTGACAAAGTGACGGCTGAGGTGACAGCTGAGGAGGAGCAGGCAGATCATTAGGACTGCAGTGGAGCATGGTAACCAGCACGCAGGAAGTGGAACCCAGCCTGCCAGTGCTCAGCTCTCCCACTGCTGAGCCTTCCAGGTGCAAAGAGTCAGAATCTGAACGTTCTGATTGGTCAGGGCATGTGTGCTGATCAACTAAGGTCTGCTGAGTGATTTGACTATTATCCTTGGAATAGGGTGCTTGTCGTGGTTTTTTTTAGGGGCAGCAAGGGGAAGTGGGTAGCGCTGGCAGCGGGGCTGATGGAGCCATACTGCCACACTTCAGGGGTCACCATGGGAGTGGAAAGAAGGGGAGAGGTCTAGAGGCCTTAATGTATTCACGTTGCATGACTGATGAGTCAGTGACTGTACCACTTAGAAAAGCCATTTAAAAGTTACTAAGGCTAGAGAAGACAGCTCAGCAGTTAAGAGCACTTGGTGCTCTTGCAGAGGACCTAGATTTGGTTCCTGATGCCTGCTTCTGACTTCTGTGGGATGCAGGAAAACACACGCAGGTCCTCTTGGGCAACTTAGTGAGCCTGTCTTTAAAAAACAACAATAAAGCTGGATGTGGTGGCACACGCCTTTAATTCTAGCACTTGGGAAGCAGAGGCAGGTGAATGAATCTCTGTGAGTTCAAGGCCAGCTTGGTCTAAAAAGTGAGTTCCAGGACAGGCTCCAAAGCTACACAGAGAAACCTTGTCTTGAAAAACAAAAACAAAGCCGGGCAGTGGTGGTGCACTCCTTTAATCCCAGCACTTGGGAGGCAGGACTAGGCAGATCTCTGTGAGTTTGAGGCCAGCCTGGTCTACAGAGTAAAATCCAGGACAGACACCAAAACAACACATAGAAACCCTATCTCGAAAAACCAAAAAAAATAAAGAAAAACAAAACAAAACAAGAACAAAAACAAAAAAACCCACTACAATAAAACAAAAAACAAAACAAAATAATGTATACTTAAAATGGGTTAAAGAAAGGGGTGTGTGGACAGACAGACACATACAGACACACACACACACACACACACACACACAACACACACACACACACACCACACACACACACACACACACACACACACACACACACACACACACACACACAAGTCTTCACATATTTGGTTTGGTGATTTGTTTTTGTCTTTTTTTTTTTTTTTTTTTTTTTTTAGATTTATTTATTTATTATGTATACAGTGTTCTGCCTGCATGCATGCCAGAAGAGGGCACCAGATCTCATTATAGGTGGTTGTGAGCCATTATGTGGTTGCTGGGAATTGAACTCATGACCTCTGGAAGAACAGACGATGCTCTTAACCTCTGAGCCATCTCTCCAGCCCTTGTTTTTGTCTTTTTACAGGACCTTTGCACCCAGACTGGCACCAAATTCCTGCCTTCGGGGAGCCTCTTTGTCACCCTCCCACAGGCTGGGACTACAGGGATGCACCACTTCACACTATGGCTTTTGTGTGAGTGCTGCTGAATGCTGGAAACGGCTTCATGCAAGCCAGACAAGTGCTCTACCACTGAGCTACATCCCCAGCCCTAAAGCAGATACACTTTATGATAGACTACCCATCACCACAAGAGAGTACTCTTTAGCTATATATATACGGAAGTACTGACATATGCTGTAATATAAGTGGACTTTTAAAATACTGTGCTAGGGCTCTACCTCCCAAGTGCTGGGATTAAAGGTGTGCACCACCACTGCCCGGCTGGCTCAGAGTTTTTTTTAACTCAGTAGGTCTGGGGTAGTACACAGAATTTTTTAAATATCTGTGTGTGCACATGTGTGCACATGTGTGGGCATATGCACCTGAAGAGCCCAGAGGGGGATGTCAGCTGTCCAACTCTATCCTTCTCCATCCCTATTCACTTGAGACAGAGTCTCTCAGCTGAACTTGGAGCTGACTCGTTTTTTCAGCTGGGCTGGCAGCCAGCAAGCCCCTCCAGTCCCCTGCAATCTCCCTATCAGCTCACAATCCCACCCCAAGCACCAGGCTTAAGACACACTAAGGCAAGCCCAGCCTTTCCATAAGGATCAAAGTCAAGTCCTCGTGCTTGTTCATCAGGCTCCGTACCCACTGAGTCAGAGCCTTGACTTACTGTTTTTTTTCTTTTTTCCTTTTGATTTTTCAGAGATCTGCCTGCCTCTGTCTCCTGAGTGCTGGGATTAAAGACGTGTGCCACCACCAAAAAAAAAAAAAATACTGTGCTGGGCAGGGGTGTAGCTCAGTAGTAGAGTGCTTAGAAGTAAGGCGCTTATATGTGAAGGGTCCTGAGTTCAATGCCTAGTACCAGAATCAATCAATCAATCATACATACCGTGAAATTGGCCAGAAGGCTGTCATCAGCAGCTAACTCTTTATACAAGTTGGGGTTTATATACCAGAAAGCTGCTGCATACACACCCCATATCAGGATAGCTCTGTTTTTACATCTAAAGTCTTTGTAAAACTCCAATATCTCTATTTTAAAAGTTTAAAAAACCATGGGCTCCTGTAAAATCAAAAATAAATACTTTCTTCAAGAGGGAAGAACCAGGGCACAATCTGAACAAAGCAAAATAAACTCCAGCAATGTAAATAACTCAATGTCAGCCAGGTGGTAGTGGTGCACACCTTTGATCCCAGCACTCAGGAGGCAGCGGCAGGCAGATCTCTGAGTTCAAGGCCAGCCTGGTCTACGGAGCAAGTTCCAGGACAGTCAAGAATACACAAGGAGCCTGGACTACCAAGTGAGTCCCAGGAAAGGCGCAAAGCTACACAGAGAAACCCTGTCTCGAAAAACCAAAAAAAAAAAAAAAAAAAAAGAATACACAAGGAAACCCTGTCTCAACAAAATTAAAAAAAAAACCCAAAACCTCAATGGCCAGTATTTGGGATCAACTCACGATCTTCCAGGCTCCTCCAAGGGGCTTGGGTCACTTCTCTGGCTCTGCCCTCTGCAGCGCACTTACAGCTTGTCTTCTAGGCTTAGGCAGGCTACACCCCACTGCTGCTGCCATTCTTGGTGGCCATCCCAAGGTACTGGTATTTTCAAAATGCTTGGGTCTTAGATTGCAACTGGGCTGCACGTTCACAAGTAGCCTCTCTTGGACTCTCTTCAAGGTGCCAAGCCTAGACTTTTCTCCATGACCCCTTCAATCCTGGGGCTTCAAATGCTACTGAGGCTGCACCTTCACCAATGATCTCTCCTGGCTTCTCACAGCGCTGAGCCTCTCCACAACCCTTACAGGCCTTCAAAACCAGTGCCACTTGAGAGACTCTTACACATGGCCAAGTCTAGCTGCCAGTGCAAGGTACAGCCTAGGCCACCTCTAGAACACAGCCGACTCTCAGGAAACATTTCCCAGAAGATTTCACCTCAGTGATGCTGGTCTTCTCTTAATCACTGCTCATGCCTCAGCTCCAGCTGACCAGTATAATTATCCCAGCAAAACAAGAGTTTCACTTCAGTGTTT